GAGATTACTTCTTGTAAACTTTTTCAAGGTATTATCTCTGTTAAATACCATTCATCATTAAACGTATCTGTGAACATTTGACAAAACAACTTCTCCCGATTGAGATAATTTTCTATTCAAAGCAACAATTAACTGAGTTCTCGTATGACATTTTTAATCGTTTATAGGAGTAGTTTAAGATGCTATCTTAATGAAAGTTAAATAAAAATTTAAAAATTCTATTTGGAAGCTCCTTAAAATTAACTCTAAATTCCAACCTACAGAAAGCAAGGAAGTAGTTTTGTCAAAAGTCCACAGATATACTTTTGTTATGTTTTGTTGTTTTATTTATTTTCAGTTCTTACATTATTCACTTTTATTATTTGGAGTTTAGGATTCGCCAAGGATGATTAATTTATTACTTACAAAATTAACTTTAATTGAGTTCACACGGAATACTTTCATAGCCAAAAGTACCGATAAGAGTAGGTTCGATACTTTAGATTCAATATTTTTCGTGCATCGATACTTTCCTTCGATACTACTTCCAAGTAAAGGTATCGATACTACTTCCAAGTAAAGGTATCGATACCTGCATGGCATCGTTTCATTCCTACTTGTCTGTATTTATATAAAAAAAATATATATATATTTATTGGTGCAAAAATAGTGGGTAGGCACTGTGGCCAATGGTAAAGTTCTTTTACCACCTATTCAAGATTGTATGTCATGCAGGGTCCGCAAATGGCTCCGGAAGCATTGTCCGGAGGATGCATCAGACTAGGCCGAGCATCGGTTATTTATTTAAGTAAAAAGTGAGTAGGCACTGTGGCAGATGGTAAAGTTCATTTACCACCTTGCAGAGACCGAAAAATAATCCGGATAGTTGGCCGAAGATGCATCAGACTTGGCTGAGCATACTTTTAACTGCCATCAAATTATAACTTAAGAAAGTTTTATTACATGGCAGTTGAGAAGTGCATGTGCGAAGATTTTATTAATTTAATGAAGGAAATTTTTGGACATGCAGCAGCACATAGCACAAATTTAGGCGCCTGGTCTTAGCAGTCGCACCTAAACAGTATTATATGGTTTTTGTTAGGAAAACAGCTTTACTTTCATAAAAAATAATAAAACAATAAACTAAGGAAATATTGCCAAACTTTGCTAAAATGTTGAGTCCTAATTTATATTTTGGTCACTGTATGCATTCCCCGAATCGAAACACAGGCATTCAGATTAGGAAAAAAATAACTGTTTATGGAGAAAATTACGATCATATACCAACATCACTTAAAACTCGTTCATAGCCATATCATTTGAATGAGCTGTTAAGGCGTCGAAACACCGAATACGGGACAAATACAGGACATTAAAAGAAATACAGAACATTTACCGTCCCGTATAAAATAAATAAATTGCCAGGACAATGGGTCAAAAAAAGAGGACTGTTTAGCATGGTGCATAGATAGCATATATAGCATGCTTGTTTTTGTTGCATGTGTTCAAACAACAACAAAATTAGCCAATCATGCTATTTATGCTATCCATGCACCATGCTAAACTGTATGCACCGGATCATGAATACCCCTATAGATGGCGCTGACATCAAAATAAAAAGTACGCTCGACAAAGAAATTCTTTCAAGAACAATATTAACGGATGCATAGACAAATCTTGATAATTTTATGAAGAGATGAAATTAGATATATGAAATCAGCAACGTGAATACAAAAACGCAACACGTGATATTAATGGTTACAGTGGCGGACACAGGTAGGGGAAATTGGGTAAATTTCCCTCCCCCAAGACTGTGTAACATGTATTTTCATAATATTCAACTGAATATCGTGAAATATCATTACAAGAATATACATATAACAGGTTTGTCCCACAAGCTACTTGTAGAAAAACTCGAGCAATCGTATATCAAAGAAACTCGATAACTTACTTGCGGAGCGCGTATATGTAACTCGAAGTGACTTCGAGAAGCTTGGGGAACAAACCTAATGAATGGATGCTTTTGAAAATATTAATTCATGGAAAAAGTGTGTCAAATTTGACTTGAGTTTGAAATTTTAGCTGTGTGTTAAGCTCGAAGTATTATGTTATTTAAGTAGGCCTATAAGTTTTTCGAATTCACTGAATTCATCATTATATTGAATTATTGGGGTTTACTTAAATTTCTCAATTCACAAAGTTTTGAAAGTTAAGAAAATTTTGGAATTCCACTCAAGTTATTAAAAAGGGGAAACTTCAAGAATAAAAACTAACAAAACTCTAAAAATTTTAAACTGCGGCGATTTTTAAATTTATGTACACGATATATGTTGAAAAATTATGATGATGGTTATAAGGTTTAAATAAATAAATTTAAATAGGTATACATGGGACGTTTATAAAGATTAATCGATTATTACATTTGCCTTTTAAGCGCTTATTTAAATAATTTATCCTGCACTTAAAAATAGCTTTTTCACATTTATTGGAAGGCCTCTTTCATGGCTGTGGGATAATCATTTTTCAGAGAAATTGGTGGTGCTAGAAATTACCCATTAAATATTTGAAATATCCAAGTTATTCAGCCTAACCTGCTCCGCTGGTGAGGGGAACAAGCGGACGTAAGTCCACGTTTTTCTGCAAATTACACAGCTTGGCTTAGGCCTTATAAATTTTTTAATCACAAATAAATTATATAGTATTTTTCCACAAAAATTCAAAAAAAAAATAGAATTATTAGCAAAAAACCAACAATACCAACAACCACATGATCAAGTGAATTGCTGCGGATAGCTGCGCTTCATTGTGTTGGCATAACAAAAATGAAAATAGTGGAAAATAGCAAACGATAATTTACAAGGCGTACTTAGCACGGTGCATAGGCAACTGGCTGAGTCAGTGGGATCGTCGGTTCGAATCCTACTGAAAGAAGTCTGATGAGGAATGTGGTGATTTCCGAAATAGCTATCACTTCTACCATTTTTTCAAATTATTGTTGCTTTTCCACAATAAAAATTTTCATTTAAAACGGCCTCGAGCTCAATATAAATTGTTGAATATAATTGTTATAAAGGCCAAAAAAAATAACAAAAAAACAAATAACTTAAGGACGAGCACACCTAAAAGTTAAACATTCTAAAAATAGAATTATTAGCAAAAAAACCAACAATACCAACAACCACATGATCAAGTGAATTGCAGCGGAGTAGCTGCGCTTGATTGTGTTGGCATAGCAAAAATGAAAATGGTGGAATAAAGCAAACGATAATTTACAAGGCGTACTTAGCACGGTGCATAGGCAACTGGCTGAGTCAGTGGGATCGTCGGTTCGAATCCTACTGAAAGAAGTCTGATGAGGAAATGTGGTGATTTCCGAAATAGCTATCACTTCTACCATTTTTTCAAATTATTGTTGCTTTTAAACAATAAAAATTTTCATTTAAAACGGCCTCGAGCTCAATATAAATTGTTGAATATAATTGTTATAAAGGCCAAAAAAAAATAACAAAAAAACAAATAACGTAAGGACGAGCACACCTAAAAGTTACATACTAAAAATAGAATTATTAGCAAAAAACCAACAATACCAACAACCACATGATCAAGTGAATTGCAGCGGAATAGCTGCGCTTGATTGTGTTGGCATAACAAAAATGAAAATAGTGGAAAAAAGCAAACGATAATTTACAAGGCGTACTTAGCACAGTGCATAGGCAACTGGCTGATTCAGTGGGATCGTCGGTTCGAATCCTACTGAAAGAAGTCTGATGAGGAAATGTGGTGATTTCCGAAATAGCACTTCTACCAATTTTTCAAATTATTGTTGCTTTTCCACAATACAAATTTTCATTTAAAACGGCCTCGAGCTCAATATAAATTGTTAAAATTAAATTTTTTCAAATTATTGTTGCTTTTCCACAATAAAAATTTTAATTTAAAACGGCCTCGAGCTCAATATAAATTGTTGAATACAAAAATTCAAACGAAAATTTTAGAAAAAAACATATTTTCCACAAAAGTTCAAACGGATAATTTTAGAAAAAAACAATGTTGCAAGCAAATAATAAATGGCCAAAGTGCCCCCAAAATATATGTAAATACTTCCAAAGAAGCAACACATAAAACTTTAAACGAATAAAGGCAACATTGTGATATATAAGGCAGCCGAACGTCAGAAAATGAACAGAGAATGCTTCCTTATTACTTCACCTGTTTATTGCGCCATGACACATACCAAGGCACAAAAATAAAAAATTGAAATTGGAAAAAATAAAAATTGATGCAACTTTCTTTCCTAGTAAGTTTGTTTGCTTCTCGAAGCATTGATCCATCCTTTGCAAGGCCCAGTAATCAGCGGTTGTGCTGCTGAGTTGGGCGAACGTTCCAAAAGCTGCTATTCAATCGCTTGGTTTGTATGGAAAAAGGTTTCACATGCAAATGGATTTTAACAATTAAGAATTTTTGTGAGAAAAAATTAAAAATATTTGACATTTTCGAGACCAAATAATTTGAAAATAAATCAATCAGCTGCTCTACTGATACTACCTGTTCAATGTACCTTGGCACATACATACTTTTTTTTAGTTACATAAATCACAGTGTGTGTTTATTAGAAAAGAAAACATAAACAAATTTATTTATGAAAAAAACATCAAAAGCAAAAAACATTCATGAGGAAATTTTAATGATGGTCATATACGTTTTTAGCCATCATAAATTTAAAAATTTTTTTTCGCTCTCAACAGTCCATAGGAATATATCTGTGTTCATATGGAATAGTAGCTTATGTCGAAAGGCTGGCTTTAGTATATTGCGGCATTCGCAGCATACGATTGCGAATGACTCACTGGCGCCGAGCCGTTGAAGAACTCTTGGCAAATAAAGGTGCAAGAAATTGTTCCCATATTAGCAAGTCCATATTCTTATTAAGTCTCATTAAAAAATTCCTTGTCGTTTAAAGGATAAAGGGAATGCCGCATTATAGTAAAGCCAACACAGATATGAAAGCTTGAAAAACTTACCATTGTTACCGGCAGTCCACCTGCGCCACCATTCGAGTACGAATACGGCGATACCAGATATCCCATATTGAAACCTGACGCATGTGGTTCAAGTTTGCCTGTAATTAAACAAAAAGCTTATTAAAATATTTATAAATTTGTTTTCAGTGGCTCCAAGTTTAAATAATAATAATAGATTGGCGCTTACACATATGTTAATGTTATTAAAATTGTAACTGACCGATGTCTATATATTATACATAAAAGAAATATTAGAGCAATAGAAACCAAATCAAAAAATTTTAGAATCTTTGTCGGTCTGTCTATCTGTACGTTTGTACGCGCATCACTCGAAAACTAATACATGAAATTGAATACAGCTTTCACCATTGTATTGCTAGAGGAATATATAAGAAGAAATAAAATAGAGAGTTGTCCCCTGTTTGAAAATTGCAGTTTAAGTAAATTACTAAGATAAAGTAAATATTGCAATATGGCTGTCAAAAGAAAGAGGGTTAAGAAGGCTTACTGCCGATAATATGTTTGAGGAGGGTTTCCACCTGTTTGAAAAATTTTATTCAATTAAATTGATTAAACAAAATTAATATTACAATAGGGGTATTAAACAACACAAAAATACTTTTCAAGGCGCAGTGACGCACGCCGGGTATTTGCTAGTTACTAAATAAAAATAATCAAGTATGGAGTACACCGAATGGTGCAACCATATTTTATTCGCAGGTGTTCAATATGAATAAAGAGCTAAAATTGATTTTTTTAAGTCGCTGGAATGATACTCTATGACAAGTGCGTGTGGAAATAAGAGGATTTGTGTGATGATGAATTTCTTGTTGGTCGGCCAAGGCGTGCTTTTTTATTTCAGAAGCAACAGTAGGGATATTGGAATATTTGGAGTGTTTCTATATTGGAGGTCGCTGTAGAGCATCTTAATTGTGTCCCATGTGTCTATATTCGGTTTTAAAACAGATGAATAGAGTAAGACCTTACTCTCGAGTGAGCCTTGAGATTTTGGGTTCAGTAACCAGTGTATATTTCTGAGCTTCATTCCCAGTGCTTTACGTTTAGTGAGTAGAGTTTTTCACGGAAGTTTGCTGTCGAGGTGCATGCCTAAACATTTTGTTTCATTACGCTGTGGAATATCCACGTGCTTTACGTTTAGTGAGTAGAGTTTTTCACGGAAGTTTGCTGTCGAGGTGCATGCCTAAACATTTTGTTTCATTACGCTGTGGAATATCCACGTTATTGAGTTTACCGGGCGGTATTGCTCAACGTCATTTTACACAGCCGTGTAATTTAATATGATGGATTTGCCAGGTCTAAAACCACACTGATAAGGTCCAATCAGTTCGTTGACTGTGGGCTTCAGTTTTTCACACAATACACTGAAAAAGACCTTGTTACCTATGCTTAGAAGGCTGATTCCGCGGTATTTGGCGCTTGTGGTGGGATCGCCTTTCTTGTAGATTGGGCAAAGCACACTTAAATTCCAGTCGTTGGGCATGCGCTCATCTGACCATATTCTGCATAAGAGCTGATGCAAGCACCTTATCAGCTCCTCGCCGCCGTACTTGAATAGCTCGGCTGGCAGGCCATCAGCTCCAGCAGCTTTGTTGTATTTCAGCCGCGTAATCGCTATTCGTACCTTGTCATAGTCAGACGCAGAGTGTCCAGATTCGGCGATTTCGCACCAATTTGGCGATTTTCTTGGGATATTTGCGCGTAAAAATTTTAGAAATCACCATTGGCGATTTTGGGCGATTTTTTCCATTTAAATAAAATTTTTCCAATTACAAAAATATACAAAACTTAGTTTTTCACGATAATTGTACAGAAGAGGCTAATGAACTGCGTGATAAACTTGATTTAAAAAGCATATTAAAAGACTGTCAAAAATTGTTAATCACCCTATTCGAAGAAATTTTGAAACGGTTACCTAGTCAATATAATACCTTTAAAAAGCTTTGATTTTGTCACTAGAAAAGTGTGTGAATCACAAGAGGGCGAGTTTGAGGGACCTGTCAATAACTTTCTTCAGAACCATTCCATCCGACTCTGAAGAATTTTGGATAATTGCTTACGGAGTGTTTGAAAATATAAGTAAAGTAGCCTTCATATTATTATCCTTGGCGCACTCATATGCTTTTATTGAGCTGATTTTTAAGTAATGAATTCAACAAAAACTAAGATTCGAAATAGGATGAGGTTGGAAAGCCTTAATTCAATGGTTCAAATAAAGTGTTATATGAAGGCTAATAGTTTCTGCTGCAAAACGTTTCCAATATCAAACAGTATGTTATCAAGGTTGAATAGCTCAATATATGACAACAACAGAAATGTAAATGATTCAGACACTATAGGTGATTTTGAAGAAATTGTGGAAATAGCTGATCTCGCCTTTTTATAGGTTTTTATTTTATTTTTAGCGCCGAGCTCTTAAAAGCGGATTTTACGATTAATTAATTAATATGACTTATAATAAATTTAATAATTGGGCAGTCCTATTGCAAAATGCGTTGAAACAAATATTTTTGAAAAGTATGCGTATTTTTAATGAAAATTGTTTGTACATCACTATTATATAAGTGAATTGTGTTATTTATTATTATCCCCTGAAGGTATTATATTCGTTTTTGGTTTTAAAAACTATATTATAACAAGATCTCATTTTTTAAATAAAAGATTTGTTAATTTGAAATCGATCATGAATTTTATTTAAAAAAGTTGGCGATTTTTGGCGATTTTTTTTCAGAAATTGCGCTTTTTTTAAAAACAATCTGGACAGTCTGGTCAGACGGGTCTTCGACTACATCGTCATTTAATGGGGGCTCGGGTTCGTCTTCTCCACCACTTTCAGTGCTGCTGTCATTCAACAGGGTGGAAAAGTGTTCCCTCCATAATTTAAGTACATTCTGGACATCGGTCACTAGGTCGCCATTGTTATTCTTACAGGAGTTCGCCATGGTCCTGAAACCTTCCTCTCCTAACTCTCTGATAAAATTTGCGGGCGTTTTTCCTGTCGGCCTGCATTTCAAGATCTTCGCACTCACGTATTTTGGTCTCTATCTTCTTAATGCGGGAAATACGTCTCGTTTCCCTCTTCAGATCCCTATAACGGTCCCACATGGCTCGCGTTGCGCCCGATCCCAGCGTGGCCCTGAAGGCGGCATATTTTTATCTGCAGCTTCTTGACACTCCTCATCGTACCAGTTGTTCTTTCGTACTTAATGAGCATTAAATGTGGCTCCACTGCTCGCGTATGTCAGTTTGTTGAAGAGTGCAGGTGTGAGAGTCGAGTGGCGAATAACTTGTCCGTCTGTTGCGATTGCAACTTTTCGACGTTAAGCTTTCCTTGCATTGATGGGCACACATTTACTGCTGCACAGGGGCGGGTGCGTATCTTGGCTGCAACAAGATAGTGGTTCGAGTCGCTGTTTGGCCCTCGGAGTGTACGTACGTCTAAAATACTGGAAGCATGCCTCCCGTCTACCAAAACACGGTCGATTTTGTTTCTCGTTTTTCGATCTGGAGACACCCATGTAGCTTGGTGGATCTTTTTATGCTGGAACCTAGTCTACATATTACCATGTTCCGGGCGCTGCCGAAGACGATCATCCTCAGTACGTTATCGGTCGTTTCGTCGTGGAGGCTGAATTCGCCGACAGTGGCGCCAAAGATCCCTTCCTTGCCCACCTTGGCATTAAAATCGCCGAACACTATTTTGATATCGTGTATGGGGCAGCGCTCATATGTACGCTCCAAGCGCTCATAGAAGAGATCCTTGGACCTCTCGTCCTTCAACCCCTCGGACATCAACCAGCCGGGCAGAGGCACCTTCCCCATTGAAGGATCCACTTGCATACCCCCACATCATAGCCCTTAATACGTTTGCCGTGGTCGTCATCAGAAAAAGGGGGTCTCATCCGAGGCTGCTTTTGGTTTTTCATTGGGCGGGGTTTTAACGTGACGGGACCCAAGCCCAGCGCACGCCAAATTTTACGCCTTCTCACTTTAGCTCGCTCCCAAACGCGTGTTTGGTTGCTACCCAGAGGATACGTGGATATAAATATCCGGACGTTGTGAGCTGCGATTTGAACCGTACGCACAAGAATCACTTCTGGCCACTCCCTGGTGAATGGCAGTCAAAAGTTTTCCACTTCTGCGCACGGAACCATCCTCTTTTCAAAATCGGTCAATGACATATAAAAAATCGAAAATTCAACTTTGGGTGGCTCACTTGAGAAAATTGGGTCAGTTCGCCTTAAAGTTGTTTAACGTTTTTGTAGTCATCATACATCAAAATTATAAGATTTGACCAATAGTTTTGATAAAAATAAGAAACAAATTTGATAGTTTTCTCGTTCTTAAATAAGGAAGTTTTAAATTTGATAAATGTCGAATTTTGTAAAAAATTTGAGGCTGAATATATAGCAGACGGCCCCAATTATTCCCCATTTACGCATGTTCAACTGCAGAGGCTTTTCGTCAGAAGTCCAGTCACCTTTATTATTTGACCTTGCGCTTTCATCGTCGACATGTCCCGATTGCATGTGAAATAACACAAGTTTGCTTTATTTCATTTCTCGTTGAGCAATAAGACCAACTTTTAAACTTAATAATTGAGTAATAAAGCAAAATAGTGTGCATAGGTAGTCACCCAGTTACATTTGACAAAACGTAGTGCATGAACAAGTTAAATGGACGGATTTGTAAGTATACAATTTTGAAAGTGCCCAGCGTCGCGGAGGCCCGCGTTCGCGCGCCGCCCCTCCGCGTCTCCCGCCCCCCTCCCCTCCTTTCACAATTATGCACTGCTGTCATTATAACCGTTTAGAAAAAAGAATAATAATAAAATTACACTAGTTCACTTCTGAAACTGCTTTTTAATGTCTAAGTAATGGGAATTATTGCGTCTGGTGTTATTGCATGCACCCCACCCATGGTGGAATTATGCCAGAGAAGAAATATTTTGACACTGCCTTATTTAAAAACATCCCTACAAGAATTCGGTGATGGAAACTAACACATTCTCATTTATCTTACTAACACATTTGCAAATATTGCGTTGGTTAAAAAGAGACCACTAAATAAGGCCGTAAGT